GGCTTGACTCAAGGTCATCTGTTTTCCTTATAGCACTCTGAAGAAAGACCCAGCCAAAATCCAGCACTAAAAACAAAAAATAGCCCATAACTACAGTCTAATACAGCATGCCCATCGACCCTAAGTCGCCGCCTCCACTACCACATCGTCGACAGTCAACCAAGCCCGATTTATCTGCACAAATAGGGGCTGAAAGTAGTGAAGAAAATGAGGCACACATGTGATGGTTTCTAAGTCAAAAGTCAGCAACATATGTCAACGGTAAGAGAGAAGTGGTCACACTGAAGGAACGAAGCGGCAGTGGTGGGCCTAGGAAGAAGAAAGGAGGCAGCTTGTTTTCTCTCGAAGCCATAGAAGAATCCTTCGATCCAACCACCACAAAAGAGCCCAATACCAACCGGTCCATATAGACCTAACCTTAAAAACTGCAGCAAGCCCAAAAACCAAATAATAGCTCATTTATAAAAAATAAAATGGGGAATGCAAGTTAGCATTCTTGTAACAGAGGAAGTTAGTTATATTCAAAACTTTCAACGTCAATTAAATAATGCAAAGCAAACATTCCCTAGTTTTCCATAGCATAACAAGAAATCCTCGTTGGAAGACCTTTTGGGAAAAGTCATACAAAGAAATGATACAAAAGACAGATCAATTTATGGTAAAAGTGGATAGAAGCTTTCAGAATCACTTGGCATCAATAAAAAATTTAGAAAAATAAATAAGTTAGTTGGCTAAAAGAATATTAGAAAGGCAACTAGGAAATTTGCATAGAACAAGTATACAAATCTATGGTAGCACGTGTTTGCCACATTATTTAGAATGATTATTTCGACAATCCAAGACCAATGACAACTTCTAGTGGATGAAGAAATAGTTGAAAAAGAATCTAAACTGGTTAAGGATGATCAAAAAGATAGTTGGGGCACCAAGCACGATTACAACTTATAAGCCTCTTATTGATTTTCATGAAAGATTGCAAAACCACAAGTTCGGAAAGAAATTTTCTTAATTTTTAGATGTCCTCATGAAATTGCATATCAACTTCCCATTCATTGATGTTATATTACGAATGTCGAGCTATGCCAAATTTTTGTAGGAGATGTCAAAGAAAATGGGTTTAAAGAATATGAGATTATGTTATTGAATGACACATGCAGTGCCATTTGCTCAACAAATAGCCTCCAAAATTAAAAGATCCAGAGAGTTTCAAATTTCCTTGTTCTATTAAATTTTAGTACTTTTAGTGCTTCATGTTAGATGCAAGTGTTAATTTGATACCTTATTCTATTTATAGGAAACTTGGTTCAGAATGAGTAAAAGCAATAATTGTGTATATATCCACCTAGAATATGAATTTGTCTATTTTGATAAGCACGTCTTCAACCATGCTCATGGATGCTTGATGGATCAAAAAAGTTTCACATACAAAACGAAAATAAGTGAATTTGTTGAAACATTCAAAGATGAAAAAGAAAACTTCAAAATTTTGAGAGTGAGGAAAAAAGTGCTCAAAATCAATCATTTCAAACAATGAAAAGCTAGTGCAACTCGTTTTAAGATACCTTGATCCAATAAGTTGAGCTCAAGACTATAAATTGAACACATAATGAGAGATATCCTATGTTGACCTATGGTTGACTTCTCGTATTTGAGTGATTATAGAAGTTATGACAAATATAGTAAGTTGAAGACAAAAGGATGCTTTTTGAGCTTTCACAAAAATTGAACAAAGTAGAAGTCGACCTACACAACAAGTCAATGAGCACTTCATCAAGTCAAATAATGAAGAGATTAATAGAAATTAGACTTAGACACCTTGAGCTCAAATGTCTTTGTAAAACACTTTAGTATTTGGCAAATACATCATTTGAAGCTCAAGAAAGTTTCTTCTCACAACAAACACGATATTTTGCATAAATAATTTTTTTCTAAGGCATGAACCTCTACTGCGGTGACGATACTGTAGGAGAGGTCCTGTGGAAAAATAGCTCGACGCCAAGATGATAAAAAGCTTAACACCTCTCATTCTTATTCCCTTTTCAACAAAAAAAAAAAAAAATGAAAAATCAAAAGGTCGTCTTATTCATAACCCCAATTATGACATCCCGTCTCTCCCACTTCACACCTCAGAATGCACCGTTCTTATAAAGATAAATGTCCTTTCACATCTTTTATACCCGTTAAGAAATGTAAAAAATCTTGAAAAACAAGTTTGAAACATCCTTCACGAGATTAAAAAATCTTGAAAAACAAGTTTAAAACATCTTTCATGAGATTACACCCCTTTTAAAACATTAAAAGAAGAAAATTTCTAACTGTTGGACACAAACTGGCCTAGAGGACGTGTTCTGTAACTCTGACGAATGCAGCCTGTAACTCTTGCCTAGAGGATGCATCCGGTAATACTAGCGTACATCTGGTACGACAGATTTGTCCAACAATCTAGAAATTGAATGTTCTGACTTTTGAACAAAAAACAATTAGTTGACCGTCCGGTAAGTTAAAGGACGTCCAGTAGCCTTGTTCGATAAGACATAACTTTTGACAATTTTGCTACTATAAATACTAGATCATTTTGCATTCAAAGTCTACCTTTGTGAGCATTAAAGTGAGATATTATCTTAACTACTCAATCATTTCTCTATATCTATCTTTTCAACTCATTTACATTAGAAAAATCTTTGATTGATTCAACCTTTGAAAATCATTTCATTCATTAAAGTTTTTCTTATTTAACACTTGAGCTTTAATTATTATTATTTACTAAAGTGTTAGACAACTTCTCTTACTCAACTCCGAATATATCATTTATTGCAAGAGAAGTCTCTATTTGTAAACTCTTTATTTTCAAACTTGTGGGTCGGATTGAGGTCCTGAAAATCTCAACATTATAAAAGGATCGGTGCTCTTTGCTTGTAAGTCACCGAAAACGTTGAAAGAAGGTTGGATTATACCATAAGTCAAACGTTGAAAGGATCGGTGCTCGTGATTATACCTATTCGAGGCATCATGCTCGAACCAAGTATATCGACGTTAGGTATCGTTTTGTGCGTGATATCATAGAGGAAGGTGATATTTCACTCTTGAAGGTACACACAAATGAGAACTCAGCAGACATATTAACCAAAGTGGTAACGGGGTAGTAAGTTTCAGCATTGCTTGGACTTGCTTCACATCAGTCCATGTTGATATGCCCGAGTGGGCATGGCCCTTCGGGGTAGGGTTGAAATGAGGTGAAGAGTATATGAAGGTGGAGGTGAATTACGGAGGCTTGATCCCGAGTTTTGGGTACGTAGGCAACCATGGTCTGAATGGTGCACCCGAGTTTGGTGCTTGCTGCTTATTCTTGTGTTCGTCCAAAATTTGAGGTCTATCAAATGATGTACGAGATGGAGAATTGTGAGAAAGGAGGAGTAGAAGAGAAGTTGGGATGGAGCCTAGGCACCCCGATACTTCAACCAAGCATCAACATGGCGCCTAGGCACCCGGATTCAACTATTTATAGCTGATTTTTTCCCCTTTGCATAAGGACCCGATTTTGAGAGACAAAAATAGAGAGGGCTTGGATAGAATTTATCAAGTAAGAGTTTGTTCTTCTTGGGTATAAATTCAAAGCCATTTATATTTCTTTGGGATTAACTTGAGGCTTGTTCAAGTAATCCAAATCCATTGTTCTTCATATATATTGAAAAATCATTTCTTCCCCAATTTCTTATCTTTTCAAGTGGTTTGAGATTTTTCACATTTCAATTTTGTTTAATCTTGGGCATCTTTGGAAGAGTGTTTTCCCAACACTAAACAATGTAAGCGAATTTTGAATAGGTAGTAGCAAATCTAACAAATTACGAGTTGTGATGTCTACAGTTAAAATCTTTAATAGTTCCTTCAGATTAATCTCCTTCAAATAGCATTGTTGGTCCATGTGTAGGTTTGAAGGTACAGCCATTTATTATGATGGTTATGTAATAAGATGACTACGTGATCTAATATTGATGGGGGCATTTTAGAGAAAGTTATTTACTTTGTGGCTAATGTAGTAGCATTGCTGTCTGCAATGTCATTCTTCGGAGGCAGCTGGTAGTATTATCTATGACAGTTGCTCATGTCTTCCTGGCCATACAATTTTTTTCCTTCTTACATCTCTATTTGCTATTTCTAAAGTAGATAACATGTGGTTGGAGGAATGAAGCTGCTGTTCCTATTTAATTGTTTGCTACAGAAAATTGACATGAAAGAGAACAATGGTGGGATCTGAACCTCAATGTTTTACTTACTATCCAAATGATTAATCATTACACTCTGGAAACTGTACTCGTCTGCAACTGCAACTTCAACTTCCATGAAATTAGGTTTAGTTATGACTTATGACGCCCAACTTATCTTCATCAATTTTCTACATCAGTGAATGACTCTAAAATCAAGCTTTTTTTTCATCAGATCATCATTTGTGTTCAGTTGCCCGTAGAAATGTTTATAAATCTATGTGATGGGTATGCCCCTATATTCTTTATATCTTGAGATCATTGTGGTTGAATTTTATCATGCATCCTACTAGGTCAGCATTGTGCGCATGCTCTCCGGTGAACGTGTCCTCACAGCTGCACATGATGGGACTGTGAAGATGTGGGACGTAAGGACTGACACTTTTGTTACTACTGTGGGTCGTTGCTCCAGTTCAGTTTTATGTATGGAATATGATGACACCACAGGAATCTTAGCAGGGATGCGTATGCTACTGAAACGTATTATTTAAAGTTGAATTAAGCTAAATGACCACATTTTTTGACACATTGTTTGACATATCTCTCACAATCGAGGTGTGGATCCTAGACAAATAAAATAATGTTGACCTCCCCATGTGAGAGTAATGTGTCAACCGATGTGTCAAGGTTTATGGTCATGTAGCATGACCCATTTAAAATTTTGTTAGATGCTTCTGAACTAAGTCCTTATTGGCATCTTCTAAAAATTACGGATTATTTTTCATGTCTGTCTCATTTCCGAAAGGCCTGACTTCTTCACTTATCCATTTTAAGGGTGGCCAACATTTGGGACATACGTGCTGGAAGGCAGATGCACAAGCTTATAGGCCACTCAAAGTGGATTAGGTGATCGTTGGTTTTCTCCGTAAATATTTACCGTCGCTTCATATCATAGATGTGGGAATCATAAACCCGCATTGGTCAATACACAGGTCAATCAGAATGGTGGGAGACACAATAATAACTGTAAGTGATGATTGGACTGCCCGGTTATGGTCAGTTTCTCAAGGAACGTGTGATGCTGTTTTAGCTTGCCATGCTGGCCCAGTTCTGTGCGTTGAGTACTCTGTGTCAGATAAAGGAATTATAACAGGTCTACTTATTCATGCTTGCACACGGTCATTTTTCAGATTTTGTCTCAGGTTTTTGTATTGCCCCAGATATAAATACTAATCAAAGTGCATGAAATTTGTCAAATACTGTTCTCAACATTTCAGGTTCAACTGATGGACTTCTTCGGTTTTGGGAAAATGATGAGGGTAAGAGTACTATATTTATTTTTATAATGCATGGAGGAAATATCATGTGTACGAACTTGTTGAAAACCTTTTAGAAGTTAAAAAATTCAGCAGGTCTTCATAGATACTTGCAGTTATCTTAAAACAGTTTGTTTTGTTTGAACAATGTGGGTTAATTTTATGGCTTCATATCAGGGGATGTACTGATTGTCTCTACGCTTATTGTTTGATGGTCTCTATACTTTATGCAGATGATATCTTTTTGGCATTTCAATTTTCTGAACCATTTGTAGTAAGGACAAGCTTGTTGATGTTGTATTATTACAATGTTCTGTATTTATTATTGTATCGTATTAAAGTCTTTATTTGGTTTACATGATGATAGCTACAAAGGAGATCAAGTCCACTAAGATAAATTAAAAATAGTCGGATTTATTTGCTTGGTTCATTTATTCCCAGCCTTCGGTTCTGAAGCACGGTTCCATAAATAGAATGCTGGTTTATTTTAAGGAAACAGAAGGAGATATATTGTCAGGGCAGTGTTATTGATGATCAGCGTCACCTTTTGTGGCTGCTGGCCCCAGATCATTACCACTTAGATCGGACCAATGAAGTGGTAGATGCCATATGTACCTCCATACACTTGTGCATGTAGTAATTTCATGTAAATTCTTATTTTTCCATCCCACACACATGGCTCATAGCGATTGGCATATGGTAGTACCTGTGTACGAAAGTGTCAAGGCTTATAGTCCCCTACCGAGCTTTTTAAGGGCCAGAACTAGATCATGAAGTACGATTTTGAAATGTTGTAATAATGATTTGAACTGAATAAATTTATTGTATGCCGAGGATACTGTCTGTTTTTATTTACCACCGTCATTGGCCTTGTCTGTCTCCCTAACATTCAGGAATTTATGACATTCTGGAAGGAGAATGGTTTGGATATTGACTAATGGTATCTCAAACTGCTGTCTCCTTCATGAGACTTTTTCACCTTTATCCTCGATGCCTTGTGCATTAGAGCTTTTAAACTTTTGCTTGTTCCTGTATAACACTAAAACAAAGTTTTAGTTTTAATCAGCTTATACATCTTTGTTGTAAAGGGTCCCATCATTTGAAAAGGTTCTTGTTATAGATACTTGGGGGCTAAGCACAAGATGTTTCTCGTTGTTTGATCTAAAGGTTCACTTTTCAGTTCTTGTTCTTTTGCTGGAAGCCAGGCATCTAGAAGAGAGACTAGATGATGCTTTATGATTTGGCATGTCATTAATTGAATAATTTGTTTCGTGGTGGTTCATGCATCTGTCTACCTTCATGGGGGAGAGATTTTGTGGTGGTTCATGCATCTCTCTGCCTTCATGGGGTAGAGACTTTGAGGTGGTTCATTCATCCTCCCAATGTTTAGAACTCAAAGAATCAGGGACATATAGGGAGCTACATGGACAAACTATCACCATTGCATATGCATTGGGCCCCTTTTTTTCCTCTTTTGTTGGTAGAACAAAGAATGTGCTGTACAGCTGAAGTTTTTGAAGCCAAATATTCATTACATTGTTGTGGGTATTCCAGAAGAACTCCCAAGCCTTTTGTTTCTTGCTTGTCCATAAAATAATTTGATGTAGTGCTTGATTTTATGTGACACGTCAATAAGTTCAATGTTCTTGTTATGATCTTATTTTGTTCTCTCGGATTTGTTATACTGGGATTATTAATAATCTTCAGAATCTGAAGTGTTGGTGGTTATGTATCTTTGTTTCTCCTCCCTGTTTAATTTTTACCTAATTTAAGACATTATCCTTGATATATCACTTTATTCTCTATTTCTCGTTTGTGTGAAATTATAATTTTTAATTTTATCTACATATTGTTGATAAATGTGACATTTTTTCTGAAAGTTTACTATCACATTTTTAACATGCATAGACCACATTAATGAGATCTTCTTCTTCTTAGCTCTCTTTATATGATTGAAAAAATGGTCCATCTTTATCATATTAATGCTTCTCTCTCTCTCTCTTTTTTTTTTTTTTTTAACCGTAGGTAGTATAAGATGTATCAAGAATGTCGCAATTCATACTGCTTCCATATTGTCTATCAATGCTGGTGAACACTGGCTCGGAATAGGGGCAGCTGATAACTCGATGTCCCTTTTCCATCGGCCTCAGGAGAGAATTGGTGGTTTATCTAGCACGGGTTCTAAGATGGCTGGATGGCAACTCTACAGGACTCCACAAAAAACAGTTGCAATGGTGCATATTAACTTCCCATTTATTATTTTTCCGTTGTTGTCAAGGCATTCAACCCTTGATTTATGGTTATTTCTGATATAGTATATATAGCCGAATCTGGATACTGGCCTTTCTTGCATCTCTTGTGAATTTGTCTCCGGTCTTCCTTCCTCTTCAATTTTTTTTCTTTTTTTTTTTTTTTGTCTTTTTAACCTGTGTTTCCTTGAGTATTTGGTGCATGACACTTGTTAATAACCTGATGTGGAGCATCACTGAACTTCGGGGGTTTTTTTTTTTTTGGGTGGGGTGCCCGGGGTGGCGGGGTGTCTATTCTATAAGGGGTTGGCCTGATCATTGATGATAGAGCCTAATAAAGCCTCTTCTATCCGATATGACTTTTGGGAAAATTGGTTGGATTTCCCTACTTCATAATCTAAATGCAGAAGTTTTATAAAAGGATCCCGATTGCTTACTAGTTTTTGCATTTATTTTGATGTTTTCAGGTAAGGTGTGCTACTTCAGACCTTGAAAGGAAAAGGATTTATAGCGGTGGGCGTAATGGGCTACTTAGATTGTGGGATGCGACTATTAACATCTAAGTTCCTCTTTTATGTATTTGTTGTTGTAACTTTGAAGCATACTTGTGTAAGTGCTTAGTTTTTTGTTAGAGGAGAAGTATTCCGTTTCACATTGCTGAGTATTTTGATCGACACTGAGGTTACACAGTAGAAAGTAAAAATCCTCAATATTGTTGGAGATGTGCTCTTTATGGGATGAAAAAATGTGTTGAATAAATACTCTTGAGATTTTTGCCAATTGGAATATTAGCTTAACTTTACTTTCGCACTTTGGTTCATGTTTGGGAAAGCTTAAATATTAATTTAAGTTGGTATAATTTTTTGTTCACATTTAATCGAACCTATAACTTCTTGTCATAGAATTTATATCTTACAAATACTTAAAAGCAGTGCGAAACAAGCACTTGTGTAGAGTCTGAGAGTCTTGCTTATTATTTATTGTGTATGTTGGGCACTAATTGAGATAGATTGAGTTCTATGCTTTAAAATTTTGGGCTTTTTCATGACCCCAATTCAACCTTTCTATTTAATTTTCGAAGGTGCCTACAAGATGTTCGATGAACGACAGAGACCTTGCCATAAGTTTGGGGGGGTAAATGAAGAGTGTAAGCAAAATTTTCAAGAGCCAAAAGCGGACGACACATCAAACTGGCAAACTTTGTTATCCTTATCTTCGCTTCTTTTCTCATCTTTGTGGCTTCGTCGGGACAATATACGTTAAGTTTGAGGTGAAATCTTATGGTTCGTGTATCCATTCTTTTTTCATCGAGAGTTTAAAAATTCCGTAAAAATTGATGTTAAACAAATCCAAAAAATTAACTCATTTGAATCAAAAGCTTGTCAATGATGAATTGATTTTAAAATTCATAGATATTGGATGGGTCTATCTCGTATTCATTTATTTTATGTAAAGAAATGTAATCAATTAATTTTAGTTGTTGCATGAAAAGAAAAATTAGCTACCGAGCCCGGACTAGTTTTTGTTTGATGGATTTAGATTGCACCTGGTGGAAACTTTGAAGCAATAGCTAACTTTTCACTCCATATCGAGTTCGTTTAAACCCATTTGTCTAAAGTTAAGAGAGCTGGGGATTCGATAAACTTCACAGTTGAATAGGGCACTCTCGAGAGTTAAAACTAGATGTAGATGTGCAAGGAGTTGTTGGAATTCCCAAGTGAAGTGGCTACATTTGGACATTTTGCCCGGGATTGGGAAATTCGATTGTTCAAGATTGTTGTCGACTTGGCTATTTGATTGATTCAAATTTTGACTGGAAACGAGAGAGGGCTAGGTACTCAAGTGGAGGTGATCATGCATCGGATCCCATTGAACTGTGTGCTAAATTTGTTTCATTTTGAGGCAACCAAAAGCATGACATTCTATTGAGATGCATTTTCACTTATTTGTGGTTTAACTTTGTTTTCCTCGAGGATTAGTAGGGAAGAGAAACTTTGTCCACCTTTTGTTCAGTTTTTCCCAACTTGAGGAAATGTTGAATACTTTTGGAAACTCAAAAAGAGGAGAAAGAAGACGAGCAAACCCAGAAGAAAATTTGGGAAAATTGAAGGAAGGAGCTTAAAGCAGGATTTGATTCAGGAAATTCCATCAAGGGACAGCTTTCAATGTTTTATCTTTAATTTCTTGTCTAATGTTTTTCTTAATCTCTTGTTCTTGTAACTTTTCTATTATGAGTTGGAATTTTTAATGTATCTCGCTTGTCTTTCAATGCATTCCCCCATTTCATGTTGTGCTTGTTATGCATTAAATGTCATTTTATCTGCTTGATCATCAAATGTTTGCTTACTGAAGTATTTAATCTCTGAGTAATTATTATATATTTTAGACCAAAGAGCAAGCATTTTATGTTCTTGAAGGAGATTAATCCTACGTGATCATTTGAGATATTCTTACAATGAGTAATTGTGTTATCATCAATATTGAAGTTCGAGAAAGATAATTATCTAAATTAGGAGAATCAGTCGTATCATAGAAATTGGATAATACGTTAAATTGCTTTTTAATAAATTAATTGGACGGCAATTGAGTTAATTATGAATCCCAACACATTTTCACTTAAAACTTTTCAAAAAATTACGTTTACTTGCATATATTGGTTCTAATTGCCTTTCATTTAGTTAATTTGTTGAAAATATCTAACTAATTTTCGTGTTACCAGATAATTTAATGAATCTAGAAGTAAATCACCTAAGCACAAGTATGAGTCCTCGTAGGATTGAAACTCCTAATCAATTTATAAATCACGACCTTCTTTGGAAGGCATCTGAGCTAAACAGCAATACTTACTCTTAGCGATGTTCATTTCTTCAATCAGTGATGGAAAAAAGTTTCAATGTATTTCAATGCCCAAAGAAATCATTGATTGGTGAATGAAACATTTTAAATATGGAAATTAAACAAGTGATAATAAGAAATAAAAAATTAGGGTTGAACTTCTTAACCTTTCATGTCGTGTTATGAGTTGTTAATCTTGAAAAGTGAATATTTTTGTCCCCAGCCTATTTACATCTAGGAATTTGAGTTCCCATTTGATTGAAACTGTCAATGTGATTTTAAATTTGAGGAGAATTGGTAAGTGGTTAGATGGTTTTGCTTTTAAGCTTAAAGTCATGAAAATTGCTCGTGATTTTCATAGTGATTTTCATATGTCCGCATTGACCATTTCGGTCACATGTAGCTAAGATTTATATTTTTAAATAGGTTAATAGTTTAGGACTTCACTTTGAAAGTTATAATCACACCAGTAAAAGTTTGACTTTGAATTAGGGTATGAAATCATCCTTTGACGCATTGGAGCTGCCATAGCAAACTGCTGCAGCTTTGCAACATTTCCCTACCACCATATTCAGCCAAAACCGTAAATTTCAATGTAAAGTATCAAACTAAAGACATACATTTATTATTATTATTTTTTTTCATAGAGAGAGGAATTTTTTTTTTCCCGACCCTAACATGTTTGGCTTTGCTTATTTCTACTTGTTTTAGCAGTATTTGCACTTCATGCTATTGAAATAGGCATTAAAAATAAAAAGGTAAAATTTGATTTCTTGGTTTTAAGCTATGCCAAACATGCTATTAGAAACTTCAAAACATAAGGGGAGAGATGAGAGTATACCAATAGAAGGGTCGTAGCCCGTTTGCTTAAGTTCCCCGTATTCTTGACAAAGGGCACACCATTCGCAAAAGCAATGAAGTACCCAATCTGGTGCTGGACTTTCAATAATTTTGAACTTACTCCTCAACTTGGTCCGATAAGTGCATGACATTATGCATGGAATTCCAATGCAAAACGAAATAACACTGTACATCATTCCACCCGATCCGCATGCTATTATATAACACAAATTAAGAAATTAGCTTAAAATGTGTGCAAAATGTAAAAGCTAGTTAGCATATGTGTTGTAATCAGAATCTACGAATATTGATCAAATTTTTTTGAGTCCGGCTCATAGTGATCATTTATGGAAGAATGACTTTGGTCATCTAATGATTGAACAATCGGGAGCAATTTACTTATGACATTCATAAATTGCAATTATATAAATTATTAGTTCATTACATCCTGTTTAGTTAGCAAAAAGATGGGCATCTCTAGTTCATTATTAGGAATAAGTTATTCACAAACTCCCAAAAGATTTGATGCCAAATGGAGTGTCGATCCTAGAAATTACAAGGTGTTAAATACTTATAGGTGTGGCCAGAATGAACTATTTCTATAATCTGTCCAAACGTTAAATAGGAGAAGAAAGCCGTAAATAGAGCTGAAATATGTAGAAGTTTTTCATTAAATGTACAGTGACAATGAATAAGATTAGGGTGTATGAACTGTAATTATTAACTTTTTATTGTAATTCCCATCTCAAAGAGAGAGAGGGAATATCAGAGAAGATTACCATTTAGAGAATCTTTCAAGCAATCACACAAATCGCCGTTCCAACTAGCCATTGGAGTAGCGGCCTAATTAATAAACAGAGAACCATGCTCTTATGGCGTATAATTTGGTGGTGCATGCTAATGCGATTCATATTCATTAAGCCGAGGGAAAGGTACCGCTTCCTCATTAGAGGGAGGGAAAGCCTGCGGCTTTATTGGAGAACCAAAATCATCTCCATTAGGAGGTGTTGAAATAGATTGTGGCTTTATCTGAGAAGCATAATCATCCTCGTCGTCATGCGATGAAGGAAATGATTGTGGCTTACTTAGCGTGGATCGAGGTTGGTGGCTTTCGTTTTGTTTTTCTTCGTTATTAGTCTCAAAGGGTGGCGGTGGCGGATCACCGGTGCATGCCATTTTTTCTGCTAATAGGATTTCTTTAGATTTGAGGGAGGATGCAATTAACTCCCAATGCATGTACTTGTATAAAGGAACATATATAATAAATAAGTCGTTAATAAATTAGCAATGTTATTTTAGTTATTAGATGTTCAACTATCATGTTTCTTTTTAATTAGTTGATAGATTTACACTGTCGCACGACTAACTAGAATAAGTAGTTTTACAGTTATTTTATTTTATTTTATTATTTTATTATTTTATTTTTTAATTGAAAAAGGTAGGGAGAAAGAGTCGGTGGGCATTAGTGATGGCAATTTACCCCGCCCTGCCCCGAATGGGGCAAAAAAACCCGCCCCGTCGCGGGGCGCCCTACCCCGTGATTTTTATTTTTATTTATTTTATTTTTTTATGTGGAAATATGAAGATCAAGCATCTTTTGTATCAATAAATATGGAAAAATAAATTTTTCGTATATTTGAAACATATTTATATTTTCGAAACAAATAAAAATACTTACACGACAGAACAAATTTCTAATTATTTGTTCATCCAACCCTTAATTTATCATAACTTTGTTACTAATTAGCTGATTGTTTGTTAATTATTTGTTTACATACTTAATTATAACTATTATAACATATTTAGAGTTCATCTATACAATATATTTCAAAATCGCTTTTTATTTAAATTTATTTTCTATCACAATTTTTTTAATAACATAATTTAAGTGTAAACCTATAATTTTTTCGTACTTTTTATTCACACATTCTCTAAAATTCATTTTACACTATAAATAATTTTATCCGAAAACAAAAACTTAAATTTACATAAAGTAAGGGCATTCTTTATTAAAAGTTCAACTTGAATGTTATCCGTATTTT